GTCTGTTCATTTCCTTTGCCCATTTTTTAATTGGATTATTTGTCTTTTTGTTGTAGAGGTGTTGGATTTTCTTGTAGATTTTAGGGATTAGACCTTTGTATGACTTGTAATGTCCAAAAATTTTTTCCCAGTCTGTAGGTTCTCTTTTTACCCTTTTGGTGAAGTCTTTTGATGAGCATAAGTGTTTAATTGTTAGAAGATCCCAGTTATCTGGCTTATCTTCTGGAGTTTGTTTGTTGTTGGTTATGGTTTGTATCCTGTTAATGATGGGCCTCTAGCATTGATCCAATTTTTTCTTCTAAGAACTTTATAATTTTTGGCTTTATATTTAGGTCTTTGATCCATTTTGAATTAGTTTTTGTATATGGTGTGAGGTATGCTTGTTTCAGTTTTTTGCAGATGGATGTCCAGTTTTGCCAGCACCATTTGTTTAAAAAGACTGTCTTTTCCCCATTTGATGGACTTTAGGCTCTTGTCGAAGATCAGGTGACCTTAGGTGGCTAGATTTACATCTGGGTTCTCAATTCTATTCCTTTGGTCAGTGTATCTGTTGTTGTACCAGTACCAGGCTGTTTTGACTACTGTAGCTGTATAGTAGGTTCTGAGGTCTAGTAGTGTGAGTCCTCCTACTTGATTATTCTTCAGTAGTGCTTTACCTATCTGAGGCTTCTTCCTTTTCCATATAAAGCTAATGATTATTTTTTCCATCTCTTTAAAGAATGTTGTTGGTATTTGGATTGAGATTCCATTGTATTTGTAAGCGAGCAGAAAAAAGCAACACTGGCAGCCAGCAAATGGCACTTAGGGAGTCGGCCAGTGTGGACAGGTGGAACCCAGGTGGCACCAGGGTGAAGCCCATGCTTCCTAGCCAAGAGACTGTGGCCATAGGAAGCAGAGGAGGCCGAGTGTGGGTGAAGAAGTGTGGGAAAGTGTATATCGCTGGTTACCAGGTGTTCTGTCTCCTGCTGGAAGCTGTGAAGCTGCTTTCTCGTACCCCCTGTTCGCCAGTCTCCGATAGGAGTCCAAGATGGCGGATCCATGCTGCGTTAGCTGATAGGGGACCTCTGCATGTATCTCTCCTTGCTCTCTGATCTCTTTCAGTTTCTTACTCCATTCAGTGCTTGACTAAGTTCTTTATCTCTTCATTTGATGCTGTAGCATTTCAGGATTGACAAGTGTCTCTGTTTGACTTAGTTTTTTGGATTTTGCTGTGGAGGGACGGCGTGGTGCTTCTGTCTATAGTGCCATATTGCCCAGAAGTGGGATTACCTGATATTCTAATATATACAAGAGTAAATGCTTCTCAATTCATTGTCGGACTGTGGTCCATTTCCAGTGACCTGAAATGGTTGTTTTTGACAAATTTCATCCAGGTTTATGCTTGTTTTCTTGGAGAAGAATCACCTAACTACCTTATTCCACCAATAGCACAAGTCTTCTCTAGAGTTGTGTTTTTAAACTTAAGTATACATGGTGTCGTATTGTACGTATCCTTCTGCATGTTGCCTTTTTTTTTTTCCCCTCTGCATTATATTTGTGAAATGTATCCCAAGTTGATACATAAAACTATATTCATTAATTTTCACTGCTGGTTGGTGTATAGTTATATGAGTATCACAATTTATTTGTCCATTTTCTGCATAATAGAAATTTAGATTGTGTCAAAATGGCACCATTATGAATCATAGGCCATGAGTATTCTTATATATTTATATATATTTGTGTGTTTCTCTAAGGTCCTTCTCTTGGACTAAGAACTTATTCTTTAGGTTTGTTTTATTTTTTTTCTTTTCTACTAGTTTGGAAGTTATGTATTCTATTTTTATTCCTATAGCAGTTGTCCTTAGAATTTTAATACACATAATTAATGCAACAAAGTCTAAGGTTAATTAGTATCTCTGCCGTTTTCTTGAGCAATACAAGAATCTTAGAACAATTAAATTCAAACCATACCCCCTTAAATATTATTTTGATACTTTGTTTTTGTTTACTTTGTGTTTTTACTCACCAGATTAATAATCAGCGTTGTTATTTACTTGTGTCTGTATATTTACCAATTACATGCTCACCACTCATTCTTACATCCCCTTCTTTGTGCGCTCAGTTACCTCCTTTCTGAAGTATTTCCTTCAGAAGTTCCTTCAGTGAGAGTCTCTTGGTGGTAAAGTCTTTGGTTTTGTTTGTCTGAAAATACTTCATTTTGTCCTTGTTGTTACATGATAATTTTAGCTAGGTATGACTTTCTAGGTTCACAGTTATTTTCACTCAGCAGTTTGAGGTGCTATCCTGATTTTTCTAAGGTTCTATTTTAGCTTTTGGAAAGCTGCAGGTGTGTGCACATGCATGCATGCTTTTTTTGTGTGTGTATATGTGTGTGTTTGTAGGTAATTTGCCTTTTCTCTCTGATTGCTTTTAGTCTTTGATGTTCTGTGCATTCCCTATGCTATGTCCATGTAAGGATTTACTTCTGTTTCTTTTCCTTGGAATTCATTTTATTTCCTGAATCTGAGTATTCATCTCTTTCAAAAATTCTTCAGATATTGCCATTTCTGAGTCTTTTGTTAGAATTTTTTATTCTATCTTCAGTGTCCCTTAATCTCTCAAGTTTTTGTTTCTTTGACTTTTTGTGTTTTATTCTGGAAAATTTTCTTCAGATTTAGTTTTCAACTTTTTCTCATTTAAACGTGTGTCTAATCTGCTTTGTAAGCTATTTTTAGAGTTTTTAATTTCAGTGCCTTTATTTTCCATTTTAGAAGTTCTTGTTTCTTTTTGAATATGCTTGGATTTTTTTGTTATTTTTTATTTTGTCATGTTTTCTGCCCTACCTTGTTACCCTTGATCATTTTAAACATAATTTATAATGTGTATCTAATAATTTCAATAGCTGACATTCTTTGCAATTCTGCTTTTTTTTGGACATTCTGAAATTCTACTGCTTTTTATTTCTGCAGACTCTCATGATTGCTTATTTCCTCATGTGTTCCATATTTTTGGATTCTAAACTCATTTCAGTAGCTAAGGGTTGAGAGTAGTTCCCTTCAGAGAGGTTTTGCATTTGCTTCTGCCAGGCCTAGAGATTGGTTTTTTTTGTTTTTTGTTTTTGGTTTTTTAATTGGACTTTAGGTGAAGGTTTACAGAACAAATAGTTTTTCATTAAACAGTCAGTACATATATTGTTTTATGACATTGGTTAACAACCCCACAACATGTCAACACTCTCCCTTCTCGACGTTTTTTTTTTTTTTTTGGTGAAAATAGCCAAAGATACACCATTTCAAAAATTTCTACATGCACAATTTAGTGACATCCATTACATTCTTCCAGTTGAGATTGTGTTTTTTTCATGTGTTGATTTCTCAGCTTGGGGTTTCTGAGACCATGAACGTAGTGTAAATGAAAACCCAAAACTCTCATGAGGGCAAGCAAGCCTGTGGCTCAGAATTATTAGGGGAGAAGCTTCTTTGTCATTTTTTCCATGGCTCTGAGTGTCTTGACCTTATGTGGAGGTATCAGTTCCCAATTCCTACCTTGCACAATACCCAAGGCTTTGTCTTCTTTGCTTATATATGTGAAACGCCCAAGCCCTTTGTTTACTAAGATTAGAAAACACTCCACAAGGCAGCCAAAGTCTCAGCGCAGCTTTCTACTCTAGATGTTAGCTTCCTTTTTATTGTTGGTGCTTGGAGATTTCTCTACTTGCTTACCTTCAGTTGTGCTTTTAACCCTTTCAGGACTGGCAGTATATATAGCTACCAGTTACTTTTTGTAATGCTGGGGTTCGTTGGGAAGCTGCTGTCCCTATGCTGCTCGCAGGTGGGGACCTGTATAACTATTGAAACAGAAGAAACAGGCGTATGCCACAAATTACTATTTTTACATGGTATTGTTTGAAGTGTCTGAATTTTTGGTAAGAAAAGTAGAAATTTTGCAAATTTGTACATGGCACACATATGTACTAGTGTGCGATGGTGGGACTCTGGGGTAGAATTAGTGGTACAACATATGTGCCACTAAGCACTAGGGGTAGGCTTGTGGGAGGGAGCAAGAAAAAAAAAATTCATACTACCTGCCAAAAATTCAGACACACTCAGTGATTCAGCATGCTTCCATTAATGAAAACACATGTGTCAACAAAAAATTCGAAGTAGAAAATAACTGAGTATTATTTTAACCATTATTTCTAAGTGTTTTTAAAGGGAGATTTTTCAGATCTAGGGATGTAATCATTATTTTTGTATCTCTCAGAGTGAATAAAATTGCTATTCAGAAGTTTAAAAATTATTGGAATTTTATAATTGTTTTTTAGCAATCTTATCTCCTTACCTTTGCTTTCTTACTCTATTTCTCTGTCTTTTGAAAAAATGTTTAAAACCAAAGTTGCATTTTTAGTGTGTCTTTCACTTGTTTTGTATGGGAACAAGAGGATATCTTGTTCTGTTTCACCTTTCAACACCAATTACTAATTCTTTTTATTTTTTCCTGTTGTTTACTACCTCTTCATTCTTTAAGGTGGTAAATGGAAATGATCCTTCTAAAGGCTAGACTAAAAATATTAAATGTTTACTATAAGATCCTGTATTATAGGGCCTTAGAAGTCATCTAGAAAAGTGGTTTCGTAAATAGTTAACCGTAGTTCCAATGTGGATAATAGTGATCTGTTGAGTTCAGAAAGAAAGGAATTTCTATTTATACTTATTTTTATCTAAAAAAGAAAAAAAAATGAAGCGTCACTACATTATATACATATAAAATTTATAAATTAATGTTTTTATAAATGTGTAAAAAAATTTTTTTAAATATTTATTTGCTTTTTAAATAAAAGCTCCAAATTTTTACCAGTGGGATATGTGAACAAAAGAAGTTGATTCCTATGATCTAGAGCAAGGCTGTCTAATAGAACTCTCTGTGATAATTGAAATATTCTATATCTGCAGTATGCAGTATGATAGCCACTAGCCACACATAGCTACTGAGCACTCGAAATGTGGCTAGTGTGACTGAGAAACCGAATTATTTATTTAATTAATTTAAATAGGCTTGTGTGGCTAGTGGCTACTCTATTGGACAGTGCACATCTATAGCAATCTGGGGGAAAAGATGGTAAAAATAGTGACAATTATTTATTGAGTGCTTACCAGGTACCAGATTCTATACTTGGTGTTGTATACATTATTTACTTTAATGCTTAAAACAACCCTGGAGGTTAGGGTGATGTTAAGTAACTTGCTGAAGATCATTCTGTGTTAGAAAGAAGCAGAGTCAGGTTTGGTGCTCAGATCTCACTCCAACACTCAACCTGCTACCATCACGCCTTACTGGATTCCAGCAGAGGACATCCCAGTACCACATCAGATCCAAATCTGATCTGCCTCCTCCACTGCCATGTTTCATTGCCACTCCCCCCAATTTTTTTTTTTTTTTTAATTTCAAGAAGCCTCAGTCTTTTCAGGTACATTATTTTTTCCTATGAAGTAAATAAGAGAGGGTGTTAGCTTTATTTTGTAAATGAAAATGCTGAGATTGATTTTTAGTGATTTGTCCAAACTCTATATTGGAACCAAATTGAAACTTGAAGTGGGGCTGTCCTGCCTAATTTTTGGTGCTGTATTCATACCGCAGTTAAGTCATTTTCTTAAGGTCAGTGTAATTGCTGCCAAATTTGAATTTGGTTAAGCTAAGCTTTTTAAAAAGTCTACAAGCAGTATGGCTTGGGAGGTATTTTTAACATATTTGTGTTTTTTACTTTTTAGTGCTCGCCAGAAACCCAGAGCTCATTATTTAGAGGACCGAAAAAATGGGTCAAAGCTGATTATTTTTGTAATTGGAGGAATTACATATTCTGAAATGCGCTGTGCCTATGAAGTTTCTCAGGCATATAAATCCTGTGAAGTAATTATTGGTAAGACTTTTGTTTTCCTCTTTTCTATTTTTTAAAACAAACTCTAAATGCAAAACTAGAAATATAAAAATTTATCTTGTCTTTTACATTTAGGACTAAATTGTTGATTGCAAAAAAAAAAAAAAACACCAAACGTGGAATTTAGTTTTAAGAATTTCAGCCAAAACCGGAAAAAAAAAAAAAAACAGAAACACAAACCCATTGCCATCAGGTCAATTCCAACTCATAGCAGCCCTATAGGACAGAGTAGAACTGCCCCATAGCGTTTCCAAGGAACCACTGGTGGATTCTAACTGCCGACCTTTCGATTAGCAGCCGTAGCTCTTAACTACTACATCACCTTGGCTCAAAGCCAGTGATTGGGAAATCATTCCATTACCGCATCACTTTCTTGCCCCACAGAGGCACAGGATCAGTACATCAGTACATCAAGTCTCTGTCTGCAGCATTGCTTAGGCGTTCTGTGTCATTGAACAATGACTTTTGCTGTTGTTTCACGTTGATATAGTAATCCCCAATTTTGCTCTTTAGTGTAGTAATATATAGCACAAAGTAGACAAAGTAACTGAATAGGCAGTGTTTCTGAAGGGTTATTGAGCATGCTCAATAAACAGGAAGGATTGCAGTACTGTAGACAGATTTTCAGGAAAATGCCCTATAGAAATTTTGTTTAATTGTCCCAAGCCACTGCACTTTGCGTATTTGAAGGATAAGACAACACATTAAGCCAAGGAAAAACCAATTTAACTGCCGGCCTCTGAAAAGTTATCTTTTCCCCTACCAGGTTCTACGCATATTTTAACACCCAAAAAGCTGTTGGATGATATAAAGTTGCTGAATAAATCCAAGGATAAAATCTCCTTTATTAAGGATGAATAGGTTTTTTGTTTCTTTGAGGAGTCTCACTAATACGTTCAACTGATATAGATAAAGAAATGTTGCTATCATGTAATTTAAATAATGTAAATATTTTTATGGAATAATGACTTTTTAAAAACATTTCTGAAGGGAGTGTTTATGAGGGTTTATGGCTACCTATCACTGGGTTTGTCATTTTTAATTATTTAAATATTATTGCTGCGTGGTAGATGGTGAGAAGAAATGTTAAAATGCTTTCTAAAAGGAAATCTTTTACCTTTAGAACAGACTTAGTAGAATTGGGTAATTTTTCGCAGCCACCTATGTACATAACAATTACTTGTTAGATACTTAATCTAAGTGTCCTATGCCGAAGAATAGTGTTTTGAAAAAGAATGATTTTAAATGAAGAGATTGCAAAAGTGAAAACTGTGAATGTGTGTGTATGATAGATGTCCTATAAATATGGTTTTCTTTCAACTGGAATAGTTTCTTTTGTGTGTAAAATAATTCGTTGTCAATAATAGAAATAGAGTGATTTCACGGTGTATATTATCTTGCTAGTTACTTCTTGAGAACACAATTTTATAGTTTTGAAATCATGTATGTTTAAATTAGAAGACCAAGAGTAATCATGAACATTCTAAGAGAAAATAAATATATAATTACAAAAACTTTATCTTGATTGGTTTTTTGGGTCATAGGGGAAGTTGGGGACTTTAAAAAAAGTTTTAAATCAGAGAGTTATAAAGAAGAAAAAGAACTGTCAAAAACCTAAATGTGCAGAGAAACACCAAAAATGAGTGTGACAGAATATATTTCTTGTGATTATAAGACAGAGGTCCCCAGGCTGTGGAAGATTCACTGCCTCAAGCAGCTTTCATGGTGTACCCCCGCCCCATAGCTTTACATTAGAATCCCTGTTCCTTTGCTTGGCATGCCCTGTAACTTTGCATTAAAATCCTGGTTCCCCTCTCCTTAACTGCTGCCCCCAAACTAGAGGAAATTGGCAGAAACCAGTTTAGGTGCCACGTTGACATTCAGGATACTCTTTCAGCTCATTAAATGCCTCATGTATAGTAACCTCCCCGCCTCTGGGTGGAGTTTAACTGCCAATTTCTGAACATGCGATGCATGAAGTTATATGTAAACCCCATTGGGCCTGTGTCGTATGATAAGAATGTTGCTGATGTAACTTGTATGAACCTCCTACTTGTAAACTCCTTAAAAGTAACCTTTCCCCTCACCCTCACTGAACAGTCTTGGCGGCAGCAGCCCCGACTACTACTTTCTTTGTCCAATGAAATAAAGGTGCCTTTTTCCTCTCCCACCTTGGCCTCTTGTTTATCGGCTGAGTTGCACCAAGCAGAACCTGGAGTTTCCACCTGGCAACAAGTAGATAGAATTCAAATTGGAACATAGCTGGGAGAGGGAAGGCACTCCTAAGAGAGGACAGTAAAAGTGGATTATATAGGTCATTGTCATGTTAATTTCTCAGGAGATTACATCAGAGCAAATGCAGGGTTCCAGGGTCCCTGGGTTGGAGAAAGAGTCACTAAGGACATGACATACATTTTCCAGTCAGACCCTGGGGTTCCTGCTCCTGGAAACTGGCTGCAAGTAGATAATTCACTAAACGAGCCCAATGCCTAAGGCAAAATGATCTCAACTAAGCTGCTTACTAGGCTATTGTCTGACTTGAAGGTGACTTTAGGAAAACAGTTCCTTAAAGGCTCCAGGTTCAAAAGGACACCTAAGGACAGATGGCCTGAGTGGGTCACCCCGACTCTATAGACCTAGAAATCTGGATTCTAGGAGAATCAGGACAGTTTGTCAGAATGCATTTTAATCTCCCCACCCAGTTACACCTATTCACTTTTTTTAAAATAAATACCTGTATAAGGCTAAATAATAAAAGGCTATATCTGCACATGTGTACGTGTGTTACACAAAAGGAACATCTTCATTTTAAATCTCCATACAGTAGACCACGATTTATGTATCATGTGTTTTCAGAGTTTTGCTCTTACAGATAATGCCATATTGAATTACTTGGGCACATACCTTTGCAGACTTCAACAAATATTTCCATAATGTAAATTTCTAGCAATGACATAGCTGGTCAAGGATTTATGCTTTTAAAATGTAGATATCACCAGATCTTCCTCCATAGAGGCTTTACCACTTTGTGCGATAGTGCCTGCTTCACAGTAGCGTCACAAGCTGTGTAGTAAAGAGTTTGGCTGGCCTTTGTCCCACGGTCCTGGGAGATCATCTCTAAACCTGTATGATAAAAAATTTGGCTAGCATTTGTCCCCAGTTCCTGGAAGTAACTCTAAGCCTCTGGAATTTCTTGAGTAATTGGAGTGTCTTTGTTTTTTGTGGGGATATATGCCATTTAAACACGGCTGCACTGTTGACAACCGCAGCCCCCACAGGCCTCTATGCTGTATGCCACATGTTGGAGACTTGTCAGCGATAAGAAAGAGATTAAGCACGACTTGTTTTTCCAAACCCTGTTACTGATTGGCTTGTTTATCTGAATTCCTTCTCCCTTGCCCGAAACTTATTGTTACTCACCCTAAACCCATTGTTCTGTTAATTGCTTTACTGCTTGCTGTATTGACTGTAAAATAAACTCCTGGGACTGAAGCGGGGTCGACTCCTCAGAGTGACCCTCCTGGCCCCACTTCTCTGTGTTGTGGCATGGTTACTGTCTCCGCCGCTCGCTGCGACAGTTTTTATGGTGGGCCCCTTGGAAGACAACTGATAGTTTATGTTGATGAGATGACTTAGTTTGGGGGCAGGCGACACCAGAAAGACTAACCATGTGCTAGCCTTTGACATGTGATACCATTCTGACCTCCAGGGAGGTGAGGGTTTGGGGTTTTTTTGGTTTAATGTCCCAAAGGACCCTACTGTCACGCTCCTGGCAGCCTCAAGCAGCTACTCATTGGAAATAAGCACTAAGAGGCCTCTGCTTCTGAGGAAACTTGGCCAAGTGTTTCTTTACAGCACGCTGCCCTCAGATAAATCTGACCCCCATTGACCCCGTGTTAGGGATACAATTAAACCAAAAAAAAACAAATCCACTGCCATGGAGTCAATTCTGACTCATAGCGACCCTGTAGGACAGAGTAGAACTGCCGCCGCATAGGGTTTCCAAGGCTGTAAATCTTTATGGAGGCAGATTGCCACATCTTTCTCCCTTGGAGTGGGCTGGTGGGTTCGAGCCGCTGACCTTTCGTTAGCAGCCGAGCACTTAACCACTGTGCCACCAGGGTTCCTTTACTTTTACTTAACAAGCTTGGTTTTCTGGCTTATTACCGTAGCAGAATGAGAAGTCTACAAGAAAGAAGTTGCATGAAGGAGGAGACAACCAAGACTACAGAATCAGTAAGTATGGTTTTAATAAAGCAGAGGTAGACCATATCTTTTAAAATCCATAAATGGTTACAAATGCAAGTTTCTGTAAATGTTAATTTGAGGGATCAGGAATACTCATTTATGGTGGTCCTTTCTAACCTATGTTCCATGGATTGGCTTCAGGGTGTCCATGAACTTCTTTTAATTTTGTGCTCAGTTGTGTGTGTTCATATATCCCTTTTCCATCGGAGGGTGGGATGTGGGAGGAGGGAGACTCTATAGCTCTCAACAGATTCTCAAAGAGGAATGAAAATTTAAAAAAGGTTAAGAGCTAGTGAATCATATAAGAACGCTTCAGCCAGGCCAGAGAAGTGTGTAAATTTAAACTTGAGGATGGAATTGTGAGGCTTGGCATACGAAGCAGATTATCAATTTGTGATTAAATTTAGGTATGTGATAAAGCTAGAAGCCTCTTAGAACATACTCAATACAAGCCTCCTTTTTTCTCTTAGAATACGATCGTAAGTCTTCACTGTCTTCCTGATAGTGCTACAGCCTAAAGTAAAATTAGACACAAAGTTAGAGGTATCTTCAGGCTGGCCTCTGCTTTATCTCTTCCAAGGTACCTTAAACCAATTTCCAAGCTCCAAAGTTAAAAATATCTCATCTGCCAGTCAGCTAGAGAAATAAGCTTCTGCCTTGGTCAGCACAAAAATCTTTGAAGTGGGAAGGGATTCAACTCCCTCCTCACAGCCCAGCCGAGACTCCGGGGGTTGGAGGAATCAATTGTTGAATGTTTGGAGTGAATGGAGTTAGGAAGCCTCAGGAAAAAGTCAGTGATCTGTTGCTCTGTCATTAAGGGTGTAATAAATCAGCCTGGAAGCAAATCAAAAGCTGCTTTTAGCAACAAAAAGCTTACTCTAGCATTTTATATGAAAGGCTACTAATTAAACAATCTCTGGTTCTCAATTTTAATGAATTAACTTCACTTTTGTTCCTCTTTTTTTTTTAAGTGAAAATACACACAGCAAACCTGTTCCCATTCCACCCTTTCTAGACATAATGATCCCAATTTTCATTTTTGTGTATTTCTGACTTCAAGAAGTCTGTAAACAAAGAATGTTAATTTATATTATAAGCACATGGTAAGAATTTCATACATTTCAGAAAGTAAATGAAAAGTAAAAATGCCCCCTCTAAAACCCCGTCCCATTTCTTTTCAGAAGCCAGTTTGATAATCATAATTTATAACATTTCAAAAGCACTTACCCTCCAACCAGCAGAGGGTACTGAATATCCTCTGAAATTTTAAAGTAACCACTTAAGAATTTTGTGTACCTTTCCAAAAAATATGTATGTCTTTTAAAAAACCATATACAAATGCGGTCACACTATATATGCTGTAGGCATCTTGTTTTTTTTTCACTATCTTGCAGATAATCCACTTTATTCTTTTCATTGGCACAGAGTGTTAACTGTATGGCTGTGCTGTTATTTATGAACCTGTCATCCAGAGTATTAATTCCATTTGGGGGCTGTTACCATCAGGCCATCCTTGTACACATGCCACAGCATATTTGTGTGAGTTATCCACAAAGTAAATTTCCTGGTAATAGAATTGCTGGTCAGAGGGTAAGTGCTTTTGAAATGCTATAGATTATGATTATCAACTTGGCTTCCGAAAAGGTTGCACCAATTTATATTTTCACCAGCAATGCTTGAGAGTACCTGTTTTCCCCCATCCTCACTGACACAGGGTCATTGCAAACCGTAATTTTTGCCAGACTAATAGGTTAAAGAGGAGCCCTGGTGGCACAGTGGTTAAGAGCTCAGCTACTAACCCAACATACCAGCCACTGTACAGGGGAAGGTGTGGCAGTCTGCTCCGTAAAGATTGTCACCTTAAAAACCCTGTGGGGCAGTTCTACTCTGTCCTATGAGTCGGAATCGACTCAATGGCAAAAGGTTTGGTTTGTTTTAATAGTTTCTTTTATTGTTTTGATTTCTCTTATTATGCATTAGGAAGAACATAGATTTATCTTAAAATAAATACTTTTGGTTGATGTCTATTTTAAAAATCAAAGATCCAATTGTTCATTGAAGCACTTGCTTTACCCATTTCTTGTAATTGTGTTTTTTTCTGGAAAGTCATCTCTCTAAATTGTGTAATAAGTGAAATACTTCTTCTTTTTTTTTTTTTTGAAGGTCAGGTTGTCTTTGCATTTTATTTCGTTCTAATCCTTGGTTGCCTGGGATTGAACAACTAATATTTCAGTTGATTCCTCCGTCTCCGTGCTTCGGCAAGGTCTTCTGCAATTGCTTTAATCATTTGATCAGTAGTTTCTTTCAAAACGGTTGCTGTCCTCAGAGCGTGATCCAAGGCTGAGTTTAAAACCTGCAGAGGAAAAGTCCACACGTTTTATTCCATAAACTTACAACCATTTCTGTTAATTGGGTTCTCTCCTTATTAAACAGTGCAAGCTGGAATTTTTGGAGGATACTGTTTTTCACACAGTCTATTTCTGTTTTTGAGGGCTGGTTTCCTAGGAAACCAGTCTGAGATGGAATATATTTGCTAAGGAAAGGGATAGAAAAAAGACCAGCACATGACTGATTGAGCATGAATCAGAGGGTGGAGGTCCCAACCTGCTGGGCTTTTCCGTGCTGCGGAGGAAGAGACTTGTGAGAAAGAGACGGAAAGCTCTTGAGGGGCCATTGAAGGGGATCTAGGGGTGAGAGAGAGGGCACCCAGGGGCTGCAGCGCACGCATGTGTGCGGAAGCATTTGAGAGTGGCCTGGAAATTAGTTACTAGTTTGCAAATAGGAACCTGCTGGGGCACGCACGCAGCCCTAACCGCAGTGTGACTGGAACAGACTTAGGGGCACAGCCAGGAACAGACCAGTGCCTTCAGCCTGGGCCGGTGGAATCCTGTGCTGAGGAAAAGAACCACCCCCAAAACTTTTTCTCCAGGAAATTTCCCTCGAAACGAGTTTGGAAATAAAGCAAACCATGTGGCTCCTAAGGCTGTGGGTCTTTAGGTTAGTGCTGAGCACAAAACTGTTTTTAGCAGAGCATTTTCTGCCCTCGCCCCACCTCCCCCATTCCCACCCCTCACTGTAATAACTTAAAAGTCATCAGTTCTGTGGTCAAGACCAAACTTATGAACTACAAGGATTCTAGATTTTTTTTTTCCTAAGTCCTCACCTCAAATTCCGTTTTGTCAATACTCCTAAAGTCGCATAAGGATTTGCTTCCATAAATCCTGCGGGAGCGGGAATGGGGTGAGGGTGTAGTGAGGTCTGAGCTGCGGGTCATGAAAGCTGTGAGGTCTTTTCTGCAAGGCAAAAGCACATTGATCCTTGAGTGAAGTGCCCCCTCAAGCACGCTCTCCCTTTCAGGTCAGCCCTGTGGTTCAGGGATGACCCTGTGTGTGTTGAAGGGGCCCTGGGGGAGTGATGCCCCCTGCCTTTTGTAGTTCCCATTGTCCTGTTGTAGATGACTACAGCTGAGCTTCAGAACAAGTTTTGTTGCCATGACCATCAAGGGCATTTCCTCTCAGAATTTCTGTCTCCTTTTCCTTTGGTATGGAGAAAGGCAAGACTCCAAAGAGACTTTTATTCAATTTTTATTCTTTTGGGGCCAACCTTCTACCTCTGTATATTTATAAAACAAGTACACAGACTTATAAAAGTCTGCCAGCCGCAGGCACCTTGGGTTTTTAACTCATTCTAGCACCAGTGAGCTTACATAGCAAGGGGGCGGCAGCAATAGACAAATAAAAGCAGCATCTCTCCTAGACTACTATGCTATAGTCATGATTCTATCACTTAGGGATGGCCCTCCGTCTGCACTAGGTCAGTGAGGGGTGTCAGGGCCACTGTGTGCATTTGTTCAGGTTGTGCACTGCATAGCTGTAGGAGGTTTCATTCATATCAGCCTATCTGAAGGGTACCGCCTGGAGTTACAGTTGTCACACCTGTAAGTGGTAGCCTCAAGGGGTACGTAAGAACTTGCCTGACAGTGGGTCTGCCATGGAGCCACCCTCACTTGGCTTGAGATTCCCTCTATTAAGTGTGAATTCTTTGGTACACAGAATACTTGTGAGTGATACCATCTCCAGAAAGTCTCAGTTCAAATGCTTGTGACCTCAAAGCCTCCCTTCATCCCTCTCCCCCTAACACGTTAACTTTGGTTGGTTCTGCAGACTGATTTAACACACTGGATCTATCCTCCAGTTGAGAGAGGTGAAAATTCCAGGCAGGGCATGGCAGTATGGTGTATTGGGAAAAGTGTGGGCTTCAGAATCCTCCATCTCTCTATATCCAATGACTCACCACTATCAACAACATTAATAATAGCCATCACTTAAAAACCAAACCCGTTGCTGTCAAGTTGACTCCAACTCATAGTGACCCTACAGGACAGAGCAGAACTGCCCTATAGAGTTTCCAAGGCTATAATCTTTATGCAAGCAGACTGCTACATCTTTCTCCCGCAGAGTGGCTGGTGGGTTGAAACCGCCAACCTTTCAGTTAGCAGCCAAATGCTTTGACCACTGCACCACCAGGGCTCCTCAGCCATCACTTACTGAGTGCTTACTGTGAGCTAGGTACCATTTTAAATATTGGAATCTGAGGCACAGAGAGGTCAAGTAACCTGCCCAAGGACACAGATGCAAATCCAAGAAGTCTCCAGAGGTCACTCTTAGAACACTGCACCGTAATGGGTAGCAGGTTCAAACAGAGTGAATCTCGTTCCAGCGCCTGAGCTGCTGCACTATTGATTCTGCCTCTTACGCAGCTCTTGAATCCATCCACTTCTCTCTGTTTCCATCTCCACCACCCCAAGCCAAGCTACCATCGTCTCTCACCCGAATTACTGCACTAAACTGTTATTTGGCCAACTCTTGACTCCTCTAATCCACCTCCCTTCCTGCCCCCCACCTGCCTACCAATAGCCAAAGTGATCTTTTAAAACACACACACACACACACACACACATACACACAATTAAAACTGCCTTCTCAAAAAACTTCACTGGCTCCCCGCTGTTCCTAAATAAGAGACTGAGATCCTTCCCGTAGCTGACAAGCCTGCACCGTCTGGCCCTGCCCATCCCCCCAGCCTTCCCTCACCAGCCTCATCTTGCCCCACTGCTGCTCCCTCTTTGGGGCTCCAGCCACACTGCCCCTGAACTTGCCAAGGGCTTGCCCAATTCCAACTGGAGAGACCCAGCTCCCTCAGACTGGAATGTTTCTCACATCCACTTCCAAACCTCCTTGCTAATTTGTTTGTACTTCTCCTTCAGAACTCAGCTTCCCTGAACCCCACATGAGGTCAATGGTACTCTGTACTTGCTCTTCTTGGCACTGACAATGGCTGACTGGGTCCTCCACTAAAATGTGAGCTCCATGGGGGCAGGCACAGTGGTTGACTTTTTTTGTCACTATGCTCCCACCACCTAGCACTGCATGCTGCTTTTGACACTCAAATATTTGTTGAATGAATACATGAATGAATAAAGTTTTAGATAGATTTAGGTTTGCATCCTGAGTCTCTACAACTTATGACCTAGGTGATCTTGGACAGGTAGTTAAAGCACTAAATATGTCATTATGCCCCCAACCAATGGTAGCCATTTTTTGTTATCATTAGTTAATAATAAAATAACACTTACTTTTCTGGCATGGGTTCATGTTTGTCTTGAGGGAATTTCAAATTTGCTGTCTGGGAACATATCCTTTTTCGTTTTGAACAAGCTGAAATATGGAAGCTATGATTAAATTCAGAGCGTCAAAAATGATCCCAATTTAATATCAAGAGTATATTTTTTAAAACTCCTAAAAGTTAACAACAAAAAGACAAACAACCAAACTTAAAAAATGGGCAAAGGACTTGAATAAACATTTCACCAAAGAGGATATACAGTGGTCAACACGCGCATGAAAAGATGCTCAACATCATTCGGCATTACCAAAAACCAAACCCGTTGCTATCGAGTCAGTTCCGACTCACAGCGACTCTATAGGACAGGGTAGAACTGCCCCACAGGGTTTCCAAGGCTGTAATCTTTACGGAAGCAGACTGCCACATCTTCTTCCAATGGAGCAGCTGGCGGGTTCAAACAACTGACCTATCAGTTAGCAGCCATATGCGTAACCACGGCACCACCAGGGCTCCTCATTAGTCCTTAGGGAGATGCAAATCAAAACCACAATGAGATACCACTTCAGCCCTCTAGAATGGCTATTTTAAAAAAATGGAAAATAACAGGTGTTGTCGTGGATGTGGAGAAAGTGGAACTCTTATACATTGCTGGTGGGCATGCAAAATGGTACAGCTGCTGTGGAGATGTTTGGCTGTTTCTCGAAAAGTTAATCATAGAACTACCATATGACCTAGCAATTCCAAATCTTAGGACAGGGTAGAACTGCCCCGTAGGGTTTCCAAGGCTGTAATCTTTATGGAAGCAGACTGCCACGTCTTTCTCCCGTGGAGAGGCTGGTGAGTTCAAACTGCCGACCATTTGGTTAGCGCTTAACCACTGTGCCACCAGGACTCCTTGATGCATGCTACAACATGGATAAACCTTGAAAACATTATGCTGAGTGAAATAAGCCAGTAACAAAAGGACAAATATTGTATGATCCCATTGTTGGGTGCCTTCAAGTCGATTCCAACTCATAGCAACCCCATGTGACAGAGTAGAACTGCCCCATAGGGTTTTCTAGGCTGTAATCTTTACAGAGGCAAATCTCCAGGTCTTTCCCTTTCTCCTGCGGAGCCGCTGGGTGGGTTCGAACTGCCAACTGTTCTATTAGCAGCCGCGTGCTTAACCACTGTGCCACTAGGGCCGCTTTTAAATAATATAAAACCAAACCTGTTGCCGTCCAGTTGATTCCAACTCATAGCGACCCTATAGGACAGAGTAGAACTGCCCCATAGGGTTTCCAAGGAGTGGCTGGTGGATTCAAACTGCCAACTTTTTGATTAGCAGACGTAGCTCTTAACCATTGCGCCACCCGTGCTCCTTAAATAGCGTAGTCTATTTTTATACATGCTGACTTTTAGTAAGGATATATTTAAAGCATCAGCCACTTCTGAATAATAGCGACAATAGTGGTGATTGTTCAGTCTGTCCATCATTTACTCAGCAACGATTTGTGATTCGTTACCAACTTGCATGGGTGTAGCACTTAATAAGCTTCAGAGTCCTTTATCACTAGGATTTCAGATGTCCCACCCACAGCCCAGCCTCTTGCCATCCAGGTGTAGGGCTGGATGTGGAAGTGTCCAGGTGAGTGCTGGAGATCTAAGGAGCAGATGGGGAGGGCAGGGCCTCCCCAAATGGAAGCAGTGGCGAATGCAATGTGGGTCTCCTGACGTCTGGGAGACCAGGCTTCCAACAGAGTTGTGATCATGCAGGAGATGTACTTAAGAAGGTGAAGAGTTTTTCTTTTCATCTAAAGAGTGGAGCTGAACAAATGCCTCTTTCACTATAACTTAAGTAATTCTGTCCTGGGGTGTTGTGTCTATAATGAAATTCTAAAAAGAAAAAATGAAAAGCAACAACTGGGTGCCTGGGAACAACAGCTGTTCCCACTTACACCTTCTTTCTGTGGCCCCAAGTGTCTCACCTTTAGGCAGCTCTTTACCGCTGACTCCTGGGGAGTTAGAAATCTTAGCGCCGCAATTTTCACATTTGTTGCTCTGCAGCCCCATGCCGGAATCAGAATAGAAGCTGTCGCCTGCATCAGAACCTGAAAAACCCCAAGTTATGCAAAGGAAGTGTGAGTTTCTTGATTATCAAATGTAGGGTGGAGAGTAGAACTCTAATTGTGTCAGGTATGCGTTAGGCACCAAAGTGTCCAACTTTCCCAGGCTGTGACACCAAGGGGAATCACCAGCCCAGGAGTGATATTTGGGATCCCCTTCTGACAACTGAGAGATGTTTTGGTTAAATAACAATCCCGATACGAAAGTCTCAAGATGTGCCTAGCACATAAAACCAAAAACCAGTTACCATTGTGTCGATTCTGACTCATGGAGACCCCACGTGTGCCACAGTAGAACTGCACTCCATACGATTTTCCATGGCTGTGATATTTCAGGAGTAGGCTGCCAGGCCTTTCTTCCAAGGTGCTTCTGGGTGGACTTGAACTGCCAGCCTTTCAGTTAGATGAGCCCTCAACTGTTTATGCCACTCCTTGCCTAGCACGTACCAAAACACCAAACCTGTTGCTGTCAAGTACATTCTGACTTGTAGGGACCCGATAGGACAGAGTAGAACTGCCTCATAGGTTTCCCAAGGCTGTAAATCTTTGTGGAAGCAGACTGCCACATCTTCCTCCTGCAGAGCAGCTGGTGGGTTTTAACCACTGACACTGCAGTTAGTAGCTGAGTGTTTTAACCACTACACCAGCAGTGCACTTCTGTCTAGCATACTAAAAAAAGAAAAAAAAAAAAAAATTGCCATTGAGCTGCTTCTGACTCATAGTGACTCTGTAGGACAGAATAGAACTGCCCCACAGAGTTTCCAAGAAGCAGCTGGTGGATTCAAACGGCTGATCTTTTGGTTAGCAGCTGTAGCTCTTAAACACTGCACCACTCAATTAAGGTCTGCCAGATGAGTGGAAGTGTGAGAACATGGCCCACTGAATTGTCAGATCATCTTGTATTTGTAGTTGTTTTTCCAGATTTGTCCTGATACAACCTCATTCTTTCTCTCAGAACATGCTGTGGCCAAGAACTTGTGTTTGGTCAGTCAGGCAATTGGAAAGATGGTTTTCCCCTACATGAAATTCATAAGCCTGAATGAGAACCGAAATCGTAACTTTGCCCTCATCAGTGCCACAGACAGGTTAGTGGCAGAGAGCATGAGTGTCTGGTGCAGGTCTAGAATTTGTTCAGCAGACCGTGGGCAGTGGAGCATTTCAGGTAAGGCCAGGGCCTGGAGGCATGGGCCAGATAGGTGGGCACATTGGGCTTAGGAGGTCCAAGCAGCATCTCAGTGCCAGGAAAGGCACAGCCAGGGGACAAAATCTCTCCCAATACTTCCTGCCTTGCTGCATTCATGATTACACTCACTTTTAACATTATCTTTCAAAGTATGAATCATGGCATAAGCTCTAGGGAGACTCTTTCTCCAAATCTCACTCAGTCAATAGTCACTGAATGCCTTCTCAGTCTGAATCTGAGGAAATATAGAGGACAGGGGACATGCCTGAGGAAGCTGTGTTGAACAATGGAAAGTGCATGAGATTCAGATGAGCCTGAGTTTGAAGTCTGGCTCTGCCACTTATTAGTTGTGATGATTAAAAAGATCTCCACAAGTTCTTTGATACTCCCTTCAAAAGATGGAGTCTAATTCCCCTCCCCTTGAGTGTGGGCTGGACTTAGTGACTTGCTTCTAATGAATAGAACAAAGCGATTTTGATGGTGTATAATTTCCAAAGCTAGGTCATAAAACACATTGAAGCATCCCTCTGGGTGTTTCTCACTCTCTTGGATCATTGCTCTGGGGGACGCTGGCTGCCATGTTGTAAGGATGCTCAAGCAGCCCTATGGAGGGGCTCACATGGCAAGGAACTGAGGCTTCCTGCCAATGGCCATGTGAATGAGCCATCTTGAAAGCAGATCCTCCAACCCCAGTCAAGCCTTCAGATGACTGCAGTTCTGGCTGACATTTTGACTGCAACCTCATGAGAGACCTTGAGCCTGAATACCCAGCTAAGCTACTGCTCCCAAATTCCTGACCCACAGAAACTGTGATATAATAAATGTTTGCTGTCTTAAGCCATTAATTATTGGGATATTTTGCTGCACAGCAAAAAGTAACTAACACATTAGTTCTGTGACCCTGTAAAAACCCAAAACCAAACCTGTTGCCATCAAGTCAATTCCAACTAATAGCAACCCTATAGGACAGTGTAGAATTGTCCCATAGGATTTCCAAGGAGCAGCTGGTGGAGTCGAACTGCTGACCTTTTGGTTAATAGCCATGGCTCTTAACCACTGTGCCACGAGGACAAGTCATTTAATTTCCCTTAACCTCCATTTCCTTATCTATAAAATGAAGATGATAATTCCTATCTCACAGGGGTGTCGTGATAATTAAATGATATACACTATGTCAGCAGTTCCCAAACTTTTGGTCTCAGAACACTTTTACACTCTTAAGATTATTGAGGACCCCAGAGAGCTTTGTTGATGCAGTTTTTAATCTACCATATACCATATTACATGCAATTTTAAATATTTGTGGTGAAAATCTCTTCCTGTTCTAGAAAAGGGCTGTCATACAACATTCAGTCAGCTGAAGATAGATTGGGTAGAGAGATGTCCATATATAAATTTCAAGTCATGTTTGCTTGTGCAGAACAATCCAGATCTTCTTAAGACTGAATGACTGTCCTGTCACTTTTTTTTTAACAAGAGGCAGGGCCAAGATGGCAGAGTAGTCAGACACTTCCTGTGGTCCCTCTTACAACAAAGACCTGAAAAAACAAGTGACTCGATTATATATGACAATCTAGGAGCCCTGAACTTCAAGGCAAAGTTGAGGAATTGGACTGAGTCGGAGGTGGAGGGAGAGACGACTCGGAAACAGTGAGGAGTTGCCAGACCTGACCCTGCTGGAGCTGGCACCCTTCAGGCCGGATTGGCTGGTGGGCATGGTGAGGCAAGCAATGGCACTCAGGAGGCGTTTTCCACATCGAGAGAGACTGAGCAGCAAAGTGTCTACACGGGCCTCCGGAACCAGTGAAAACTGGTGTTTAATTAACAAAAGATGAGTATATGCATCTGACCTACCACGCAGATCAAAGAACACCCCCTTTGGGAAAAACCTCTCTCCCATTTACTGGCCCCCTCCCTGCTCTGCACCAGGTCCTGGGCCAGCTTCAGTGATTGCTGAGTCCCCTGGGCTGGAAGTAGGACCTGTCACGCACCCTGAGCCATTCTCCCGGCCATGGAGAGGGAACAAACTAACAAACAGGAAAAAATAATCTGCCAGCTCCCCTAAGCCGGGAACTCAGGGTAGGCACAGCTCCTTTGCCCAGGTACAGGACTTTGAATGCCTTTCATCCCTGCATAGACCTGTGTGGGCCCATTTCAAAAGCATAAGCCCTCATTAGCATAGTACTACAGGCATATACCTGAAGCTTAACTTCAACTGTATCGGCTATATGGTGAAGTGGCAGGTTCATGACATTTGACACTGCTCTGCCCATTAAGCAGGGTCCTCACCTACTCACATCACAGGCATGAGGACTGGTGGCCCATGCTACCTAGCGACCCACGACAGGGGTCCAAGAATAAGTGGTGCTTCCCAGTCCTTACACCCAACAGCACTGGTACACATAGTCTAGCTGCAAAACCCACCCACCTACGTGCTCTAGGAAGGAGGGACACACTTTCCTCCCACACACTCAGGGGCAGCTGTCAGCCGCCTGCCTTGCTCAACACATGACCACCTACTACAGCCAGATACCTGTGCCTACACCAATCACCACTGCCTGTCTAGGACTGTAGGTGAGAGCCTGCACCACACACTTGGTGACTGGCTACCTGGACACCTGAGCTGAATCCATACACAAAAAGTAAACAGACTCCTGGGCTCACATACCTAGTAACAAATCTAACCACCTGGTGACAGGATGTTAGAGCTTCAAAGGCACCAGTAATCAAACTAGCTCACACGAGCAGCCTATTTGGGCATATCAAAACAAGAAGCTAGGACACAGTATGCAAACATAAAATAAGTAAATATAATAACTTACTGATGGTTCGGAGACAACAGAAAATATCAAATCACATAAAGAGGCAGAACATGATGGCTTCAGCAAGCTCCCAAAACAAAGATTCAAGAAATTTTCTGAAGGAAGAGAACTTTTTGGAATTACCGGAGGTAGAATACAAAAGATTAATATACAGAACTCTTCAAGAGATCAGGAGGGAGATCAGGCAAAACTCAGAACAAACCAAGGAACATACAGACAAAGCAATAGACAAACTTAAGAAGATTAGAGAAGAACATAATGACAAATTTAACAGGCTGCAAGAATCCATAGAGAGAGAGCAATCAGAAATACAGAAGATTAACAATAAAATTTCAGAATTAGATAACTCAGTAGAAAGTCATAGGAGCAGAATTGAGGCAATGGAAGTCAGAATTACTGAGATTGAAGATAAAGCACTTGACACCAACTTATTTGAGGAAAAATCAGATAAAAGAGTTTTAAAAAATGAAGAAACCCTAAGAATTATGTGGCACTCTATCAAGAGGAATATCCTATGAGTGACTGCAGTACCAGAATGGGGTGGGGTGGGGGGTGGGGTAACAGAAAATACAGAGAGAATTCTTGAAGATTTGTAGGCAGGAAGCTTCCATGATATCGTGAAAGATGAGAAGATATCTATCCAGGATGCTCATTGAACCCCACCTAAGGTAGATCCGAAAAGAAAGTCACCAAGACATATTATAATCAAACTTGCCAAAACAAAATAGAGAATTTTAAGAGCAGCTAGGGATAAACCAAAGTCATCTACAAAAGAGAGTCAAGAAGACTAAGCTGGAACTAGTCAGCAGAAACCATGCAAGCAAGAAGGCAATGGGATGACATATATAAAGCCTTGAAGGAAAAAAATCGCCAGCCAAGAATTATATATCCAGCAAAACTGTCTCTCAAATATGATGGCAAAATTAGGGCATTTCCA